TCTCGATCTCTTGACCTCGTGATCCACCCGCCTCGGCCTCCCAAAGTGCTGGGATTACAAGCGTGAGCCACCGCGCCCGGCCTAGCTTAATTTTCTCATCTTGAGAGAAGTCTTTCCTACGCCCCCAGTTGTGGTTACATCCTTTTAATATTTGTGCTCACAGTTTGCGGCTTGACCTCTTTGAAGCACAACCGTGATTTCACAGTTTGTGTCGTACTTTGTCTGGTGTGTCTCCCCCACTAGACTGCAAGCTCCAGAAGGTTGGGAGTCTGTCCATTTTGCTCACTGCTGTTATCTCTGGTGTTCAACCTCGTCCTACATGTAGGCAGCTTTGAGTAAATACTTGCTAAAGAATGAATGAGTGAGCAGGCGTGGTGGCTCACACCTGTAATCCCAGCACTTAGGGAGGCTGAGGCGGGCAGATCACGAGAGGTCAGGAGTTTGAGACCAGCCTCGCTGACATGGCAAAACCCCCATCTCTGATAAAAATACAATAATTAGCTGGGTGTGGTGGCACATGCCTGTAATTCCACCTACTCAGGAGGCTGAGGCAGGAATCACCTGAACCTGGGAGGCAGAGGTTGCAGTGAGCTAAGATCCCACCATTGCACTCTGGCCTGGGTGACAAGAGCTAAACTCCATCTCAAATAAATAAATAAATAGAGAGTGAATGAATGCTTTCTCGGCACTTTTGGTCAGCCCTCTAGTAAAAACCCACCACTTACCACATTGTATTACAGGCTGCTGTAGACGTGTCTCCTTTCCTTATCAGACCTTGAGCTCCTTAAGGGCAGGGGCTGTGTCTTCTTTGAGGCTCCATTGCTTAGTGCAGTACTGGTGTGTGGCAGGCGCTCAAATACTTGCTGCATGATTGTGGTGGGCCTTCCCTCTTAACGTGGAGCTAAGTACCTTCTGCAGGGAGGCTGATGCTTTCTATCCCCACAGATGTGAGCTGCGACGAATGGGCCTTCTCTCTACTGCCTCTTGATGTGGATCTGCTGAGCATGGAACTACCAGAATTTTTCAGGGATTACTTTCTGGTAAATGCAGGGCCCTTGGGTCTTGGCATCAGGGGACGGGGACAAATGTGGGATCCAGAGGACTAGAAATACCAGTGTAATCTTTGTCCAACTGAAATAATTTATCACAAGCGATCGTGAGGTAGTGATTGAGTGCTAC